CACACACACACACACACACACACACACACACACACGTGCACGCACACAGACAATGTTGCTACACACACTACGGGCTTGCTGGTACACCCCCCCCCCCAGGTTCTGTCGCACCCATGACATCTCCATGTTCTACGGCAGCTGTGAACTAGGGTCAGCTGGTCCCAGCAGTGTCCCGCTGCCTGAGGGTGCAGACGGAAGGGCAAGCAAGAGCTGCCTTGCCGCCTTCTGTCCTGTCCGGACTGGCCAATGTTTGGCTGCCCCTCCTGAGAAGACAGAGAATGCCATCTGAGATGGAGGAAGCGGCTCTGGGTCCCCTCTCACCAGGCTGTTTTCATTTTCTTTTCTCCAGATCCAGTTGGAACATCCACCCCAGCATTTTTTTTAAATCAGATCTAAATCCTAAATATGTGGTTTCAGCTTTGTTATCAGCACCGATACTAATGTTAATCACAGTAATAATGAACAAAACACTTCTTGTTAGCCCAAATAAGGTGGTTTTCTCAGCCACATTAGGGTTAAAAGCTACATGGGTCGACCTGCGGCCCCTTCCCCAATCTCCCACAACCCCTTCACCCTCAATCAGGTGACAGAGGGCTGGGCTCTCTCAGGTTTTTTTCCTTTTGTTTTGTTTTGGTTTTTGGTTTTTTGCTTGTTTGCTTGTTTGAAGTTTAAATAATAATTGATTTCTTTTTACAAAAATAAAGCTGGAAAAAATCAAATAATTACCATTGATCTGAAGCACCCGGCAAAGCCAACGCCTGATTCTGAGATTCTGGACTCAACAGAGTTATGAGTTAGGGGCGGTGGGGAGAGGGGAGGAGGAGGAGCGGGGAGGAAGGTAGATGTTTTAAAGGGGGTTATTATTGGTGTTCTGGGGAATAGGGGCCGGGCTTGGGTGGATTCTCAAACCCTTCCCCCTCCACCCCCCACGCTCCATTGCACAGAGGGGGAAATTAATTTTTTTAAGGAGTAAAAAGAAAGGTCAGAGATGGCGAGCAGAGGGAGCGAGGTGGCTTCTTACACACACCAGGTAAACAAAAGCCAACAAATTGTTTCAATTTTCTCCCCTGTGCATCCTCTTGCCGTTTAAAATAAAAGAGCAAAAAAATATGCAAAATTAAAGATCAAAACCAGCCTCCTACCACCACCCCACGTTCACCCACGACAACGTACCCTACCCCACCCCCCACCCTCGAAAAACAAAAACAAAAACCAGGAGGGGAAAAGCAGCAGCTGAAGAAAAGGCTTTCGGCTTTGGCAGCGGCACAAGGGTGTAAACTTCGAGCAGCTCCCTCCACCCGACCAGAGGAAGAGGGGGAGCTCGCAGATTCTCGGGGAAGAGGACGAGTTCTGACCGGCTGCAGACCGTTGCTGGCAGACGCAGCAAAAGGGAGAGAGGGAGCCAGGGAGGGAGGGAAGGAAGAGGGGGAGGGAGAGAGCGAGGATCTCAGGAAGACGGGGATGGGATGGGGTGTGCGATGGTGCGCATGTGAATGTGTGCGCGCGCGGGAGAGGGTGTGTGTGCACCAGCACCGCTGGGGGGGGGGCGGTAGTGGCTTCTTTTTTCTCTCCAACTCCCCTCCCCGTTCATGCTCAATCCCCATCCATTTGTGTGTGCCAAGTCAGTAAAAGAGGGAGGGGAGGGGGAGAGCCAGAGGAAAGGAGCGAGAGAGAGAGAGAGAGAGAGAGAGAGGAAGAGAGAGAGGGAGGGAGAGAGGGAGAGAGGGAGGGAGGGCGAGGGCATGAGCAAGAGAGAAAGGGGGGCACGAGCAAGTGAGAGAGAGAGAGAGAGAGAGAGAGAGAGAGAGAGAGAGAGAGAGAGAGAGAGACCGACCAAGAGAGTGTGGGGGGGGATCCACCTATTTGGCAGAGAGGCATCCTCACGCAGCCAATGGCTGAGTCCAAGGGGAGGAGGGAGCTGGGCTAGCTGGGAGGGTGGGGAGAGCCCCCCGGCAGTTGGAGACCAAAACAATTTGCCCAATCGACAAGTTCACGTCTAATGAACGAGCAAAAGCAAAGTCCAGCAGTTATGAATTTTTCATCCCAGGCGCCCACTCGGGTCTGCTAGGCAGCAGTCACCCAGCAAACTTGGGGGGTGGGAAGACTAGCATTGAGGAAGACGTGGACTTTTCTTTTAAGCCAGAAAATAAATAAATAAAGGCCTGACTCCTGGCGGGCTGGCGGCTGGGCGGGAGCCCCAGAAGGCCTTGGGGAAGCAGCTGCGCCTTCTCTCTGTGTTCTGCTTTTCAGTCTTTCTCTCAGGCCTGCACACTCTCTGGTTCTAGATTTTTTTTTTAAATGGAGCACAGTGGGGCGAGTGGACATTTTCTGCTCCACTCTGCGCACCAGCCTACGGAACTATGAATAGGAGAAAGTGTCCACGCCAGCAGCACAGCACTGTCAGGGCGGAGACTGCTGACTCCGTGGGTAGCCACCTCTTGGCCCTTCGGCCCCTGCTGACTGCAGGACTCCGGAGCACCCCCAAACAAGGGACCGACCCCTGCACCCCCTTGCCTTCTCCTCGGCCCACACCCAGCCACGCACACTCCGCTAGCAGTGACGAGAGATGCCAACGCAATGCAGCTCAGCCCGTGAAACTGCAAGTTTATTAAAATAGCCTCCTGTCACAGGCTCCTCTGGCAAGCACTACACACAGCTACAAACAACAGCCAGCCCCTGGGAGAAGTGACAGAGACTGAGCCCCACACTGCTTCCCCTCACCAACACCACCTCCCACTCTGTGATCCCTCCTCCCCTCCAGATCTGCCCTGGCTACCCACCCTGGGTCAGCTTTACCTGTCCCTCAAATCAGACTAAAATGCAAAGGGCAAAAGCATAAAAGCGAGATGCATGGACATGGACGGAGAGGAGACTTGAGAAAAGACAGGGCTAAAAAGAAAGCAAAGGGCCTTCAGGAGCCCCAGCCAGGAGAGGTGCCGCTCAGAAGTCCCTTCTCCAGGTCCCTAGCTAGGCACTTCCTCAGGGGAGCCTCACCTCCAGGAGGACTCTCCAGCAAGGGCTCAGAGCAGCTGCCTTAGGCCTCCAGGAAGGCAGGAAGTAAGAGGAAGAGCAGAGGGTAGGACATCAACGGACTGTGCTGAGTGGCCAGGGCTCAGTCCCCACAGCCACCCTCTCTGCAGGCTCAACCCTAAGCTGGCAAAGGGAAAAAGGTCACTGCTCACTCCTGCCCCTGTCCTCACCAGCTGAAACCCTGTGCTCTGTGGCCTTTCTGTTCAATGGCAAAGAGGCTCCTGGAGTATGCCAAAACAAAAGATCCACCCCATGATCCACCCCCTGACAATGGGAGGTGCCACCCAGCACCTGGGACCCCATACCCTAAATGGCCAACTCCAGTGGAGTGAGCTCACAGCTGACCAAGAGACACAGTTAGAGAGAACCGTGCGGGAGGGAGGTGCCATCACAGACAGGCCTCTTAGGGTGGTGTTCAATAATTCACGTCCTGTGAATAGCGGGCTTTGGTCCAACCAGCCAAGGATGCTTAGTGACATAAGGTACCGAATGAACAAGGCCTTCTCCACCTTGAGGAAGCAATTTCACTTTCTGAAGTCAAGATGAGGTCATAAAAGCTGCAAGTGGGTTTGTATTTGGCGGTCCAGAGGGTGGTGGGGATGTTGTTGCTATTCTGATTATGCTTTAAACATTAAAGAGAAAATGGCCAATATTGCTCCATGGCAAACCCTGGCTTGTTGCTTTTTCATGAATACAGTGTGGTGGAACAGCCCAGGTGAAGGTCTGGCTTGGGGAGCTACAGTTCCATGACTAGGAGGAAGTCCACAGAAGTTAGGGACAGCGTTAGAGGCAGTCCCCGGGAACTGAGGAAGGTAAGAGTCAAAGGTTCCCCGGGGCAGTCAGCTGATCAGAGAAGTGGAGGACCGTGGAGTGTACGCAGGAAGCCTCGGAGACTGGCAGGACAGCAACAGGCCCTTCCTCATGAATCTGAAGGGAGAACAATTGTCAACTGTCCTCTTAGCTGGGGGCTATAGCCTTGAAGGTAAGCAGAAGGTCGTTGGGCGGTGTCTCCTGTGCCTTGGTGTGCCTTAGCCAGCAGAACCTGATGACTTCATATAAGCAGGCCTCCTCAGTAGAGAAAACAGCTCTTTTCGTGAGTGAGTGAGTGAGTGAGTGAGTGAGTGAGTGAGTGAGTGAGTGTGTGTGTGTGTAGACCCCCCCAAACAAAAGAGAACTATCCCCCCCCCTTTTTTTTGAGATGACAATCTGGGCACCCTTTGGAAGCTCCCTGTGTCCCTGTCCCAGCTCCTTCCTTTCCTGTCCCATCCACCTTCTGGAGGTCATACTCCTGCACCCTGATGCACCCAGACCCAAACCAAGACTGGAAAATTGCTGATGATTCAAGATGCTTCCAGGTCTGAGTTCAAACAGAAATGATGAGGGGGGGGGTTGGAAAGAGCAAATGTGGGCACCTACAGATTGCTGAGGAAGAGAATAAAGGAAGAGAGAAAGAAAATGAAAGGAAAAAAAAATCAACCAAAGGGAAAGGAAGCCGGGTATGGGTATTCCTTAGGGCAACAGGGGGAGGGCGGAGAGAAGACAAAGTTTGAAAAGTACTTTCTCCATTTGCAAGAAAAGTCAAGAAGCCAGAAATAATGCTTTTGAAATTGACATGGATTTTTGGTTTTTGGAAGAGGAATTTTTAACTTCATGAAAGAAAGGCCTCTCTTATTTTTGAGAAGATAGATTTTAATGAAAACAGCAAGTGTTTCTACTGAAATGCTGCTTGGATAGACTCTGATACGGGTCAGCCATCACAGAGGGATGTGTCCCTTACCCCCAAAGATTAAGCAGGCCACAGAAACAGAAATGCAGAGGGGGGAAGAAAGAGAGGCAAGGCAGAGGGCAAGCCCGGAACACAAGCTGCAAAAAAGACAGCGATGAAGAGAAAGAAAGCAGGAGAGGATAAATAACAAGGAAAAAGGGCTCCAAGGCAAGAAGGAGAAAAGGAAAAGGAGCTAAGAAAGATGGCGGCTTCCAATGGTGAAAATCACGTGGCTTTCAGAGCAGTCCCGTGAACGGAGGCCTTGTGGGTTATTTGAGGAAAAATAGAGAACACATCCAGTCCTTCACTTGCATGTACAATATTAAAAATTCTTCCAGGAAACAAAATAATTTCCCAAAATTGATATAGATTTTGTAACTGGCCTTTGCCTCCTGATAGTGAGACAGCTAAGGAGCACAGGAGGCCTTGTTTTAAACACCAGCCAAGGGTAGGTCTCTTTATCTTTAAAAACAAAATCGTATTTGTCCCCAAGCCGCTGGCTTCTGGGCCTAGATATATTCTTTCAGATCCTGGGCACCATGGCCCATACTGATTGGGATAAGCACCCACAGTTTAAGCACATGGCTGTGCTCTAAGCAGAAAGCACCAAATATTCCAGATCTGTAGAGTACATAAGGAAAGACATAGGAAATTAGGCCACAAATAGAGCCCCGGTGAGTTTGCCTAATTCCTGGCATTATAATTCTGCCTGGGTCTGGACTGAAAGAAGACAGCTTTACACATAACAACCACCACCACCACCACCACCACCACCACCACACACACACACACACACACACACACACACACACCTCCCATCTTGTCAGATCTGTACTCCTCCCTCAGAAGGCTAGGAGAAGCCATGGGCAGACACTGTGAACAGGACTCTGGCCGCAGCAAAGGAAGAGACCTAGCTGCTTGTCCTAGGGGTGGGTGGGGCCTCCCTCTCTCGGGGAGGCAAGAAGAGGCTCTGCAGCTCGGTGAAACTGTCCCAGAGTCTGGAAATGCTAGGGACGGAAGCCGGAAAATGCACTTTCCGAGGAGGCTCCCGGTAATTTGGACAAAGCGGGTTTTGGCTGATTTGGGCCTCTGTTCAGGAACAGCAGCCGCTGGGCTTGTGTGAAAAACGTCCTTGGGCTAGAGATGGATTTGTCCACACCAGAGCCGGGTTTCTCTTGGGGTCTGTCTCAGAACCAGGCCACATAACACTCCTGTAAAATGCCCCTGGGCACCCCCCACGCACTGCCTTTTCTGCTCCTTTCTACAAATCTGGGAGCTGTGGCCTGGGACCGGGCCAACAAGCAGCCTCGCTCCTGGCTGGAACGCTCCCCTGCTCCAGGCACATCTCCCCTCACCCT